GCTCTGGGGTCAACCCATCAGGGTTATTTATTGACCCGTGTTGGGGGAAATATGTGTCGAGTTTCAGAAAATGTCAAGACGATTGAAATGTCAGGATGTGATGTCAAATGTCAGAAATAACTTACATCGTGAGATGAAATAGGCCAGGAGTTAATGGAAAACATGGGAAAAAAAATTTCCGGGGGGGGGGGGGGGGGGGAGGTCCGTTCATGTTTATGATCTTGGCCACCGGATAGCGTATTGTCGAAAGGTCACCCAGAATGCAACAGTCCCGCGTGATTTATCGGCCTTGACATTGAAGACTATCACCTTACCACTGACCAGGTAATTTGATAACGCATTCCTAGGTGGGAACATTTTATTTTTTTGTGGGTGGCGATTTAATCCGTAGGACACACCCCCGCCAAAATTTCTTTACCCAAAGGATATTTTTTTCTGATATATCTTGTCTGAATAATTCTATAGGCAAATAAAGAAATGTGGTTCATGCATGTCTAGCCGTCAGAAATACTAAGTTTTGCTGTTTTATTTTAACACAACAGCTACACTTACAGGACACTTATGTGTCCAAGTTTCTACCTAGTGAACACAAATTGTGTACACGAACCAAGAATACACATTGGTGTTTGGAGACGAAAAACATGGCGGCCTGAAGGACAGATAACTCCGAACGACTCACTTGACATGTGACCTGTGACTGAATGGTCAAGGTCATAGGTCAGTAAGTTAATATTATTTTGAATTAATCAGCTGGGCTTGGTTCATATATGGATGTTGCTTTCATTGTTCACACTTTCATTGAAATCCCGTTGACATTATCACACAGTACGTGTAATCGATAAACAATATCAATTCATGATGTCGACCAAAAAATTAGCATTGCCTGGTGGTTAAGTATGTTGACCAAAAAACTGAATTTTTATCTGGCACCTTGGCATTTGTCATGAAACTAACACTATGATAATGTTTGGTAGGGAAAAGTTTCAATGGAAAGTTTTTAAAATTATTGACTCAACATAGCAACCAAGGGACGTAAATAGGTAGATTACTTCAAAGTATTATCTTGTACACAATCCTATAGAAAAGTGTACAAACCAGATCATGAATGATACAATGGTACAAGGTACACACCCCGACAGGTACACAAAGTTTCCAGACCGACCCTCCTCACCGCGCAGGTAAAAATAAGTTACCTGGGGCAACCAATTTTTTCATACCTGTCATCAGCCATCACCTACCTGGGTGAATAATAAACCGTAGGTATCCGTCGGTTGTTTTAAATGCATTAGCGGGCCGGGCCAACTCGGAAAGGGCAGTAACTTAGACTTGCTGTTTAGACAGACCAATATTTGTAGAGAAGGGGAGGGAACACAATGTCAGAAATAAAAATGGACGGTGGATGCGTCATTTGAGAACAAACACTAGGACGCTAAAAATAATTTAAAAAAAAAAAACACACACCTTAAGTTAGAGAATTTACATTTAATCTTTTAAAATTGACAGGTATAAGTTTTACGTAAGGATGACTTGGCATGTTTTGTGTGTAAAATAAAAGATTAGTTTTTCGTTATTTCTATGACAGATAAAATAATGGAATTTTTTTTCATTTTTAAATGCGATGCCTTTGCAAGGAGTACGTTCCTGGAGTGATAGTTTGGATAGGTTTTTTTTTAGTGCAAACAAATTCGCAAGACAATGCAAAAGTCGTACCTTGTAAGGCGATATCTTGTAATGACGCATGCGCAGTCGTGTGAAAACTTGCGCGCGACGCACAATGACTCTCACGGTATATTTAATAATGTCGTTGGTTCAATTGTCATTTTTAGTCCCAAAAAAAATGTCCTTTTCACGTGATGACACTAGATGATTAGTCATAGATTACATGACGTCAGTATGTTTCAACCTTAAATATATTTAAGAAACCGTAACATTTTTTTTTCTGCGACAACGCTCAGACCACGTCTTAAGGAATGTTGATGACCCCTAAAGGATTTAAATGAATTTCGTGCAACAATGTAGCAGTAAGATGGGTCAATACGGACCCCAGGGGAATATCTATTACTTTTTGTATGTGTGTAGGTGGGGGCGTGTGGTGAGAGGGAAAGGGGGGGGGGCTGGCATAGTAATTACGCTACAACCCGAACATTTAGATAAATTTTTTTTAAACTTAAAGTTAGTCATATATGACATTAAGTCGCCATCCCCCCCCCCTTAACACTCCTGATTTGGGAACATCTTTAGCACATACATAGAGGCCATAGGGGCCTACATATGATGGTCTGTTGCCCGCCTTCAGTCAACATCACCATTTGATGACGTCATCGTTGATGTGATCTGAATTCAGTGTTTTAAGGAATGCGCCTAAAATTAGTATGACGGAGGTATGAGATGCTGGAGGGTGCACTTGTGGGGCAGAGGGGTGGAGGGGAGGGGTGGTGGTCTGGTGCATTGGTTGTAAGACGGTTATTATTATGAGAGGGGGGAGAGGGAAATGAGGGGGGACAAGGAACTGATTGCTGGTTGCTGTCTCCATTAACTAAATACGATGACGTAACAAAACAAGTCACTATCACATCTCCTCTGATGACGTAAGCTAAAGCTTTCTGGTTAAGGTAAGCTTTTTGATTTAGCTAAAGTAAAACCGATTCGGTAACTTAAACATATAACCATTTATATCACACACATCGGCGACTGAATGTGTACGGCTGATTGGGAGAGAGGTGACATCACCCACTGCACATGTCATCTTTTCCCGTCATCTATTCACTGTTCTCACTGCACATGTCATCTATTCACTGTTTCTCCCAGCACCTGTCATCTCTAATGACTTCTCACTTGACTCAACACTGCTTCACATTTCGCCTACAAGTCCCTCTCCCCCCCCCCCCTCCCCCCCACCTACGAAAACCTGAAGTAACTTCTAACTCAAGTCAAGCAAGTTTGTGAACATTTGATTCGAGCCTTCGGGTACATGTACACATACTCCAGTGTACACAGCTCTCAAATGTACATATCTCCCATAACGGGTGTGTGTGTGTGTACACAAAGGTGAGGTAAGACGCCGCTCACATAAATCATAGAATGGTGTCCGACACTGACATAGACACAATGGTCTCCAACACTACCACATACACACAATGGTCTCCAACACTACCACATACACACAATGGTCTCCAACACTACCACATACACACAATGGTCTCCAACACTACCACATAGACGCAATGGTCTCCAACACTACCACATAGACACAATGGTCGCCAACACTACCACATAGACACAATGGTCGCCAACACTACCACATACACACAATGGTCTCCAACACTACCACATAGACACAATGGTCGCCAACACTACCACATAGACGCAATGGTCTCCAACACTACCACATACACACAATAGTGTCCGACACACGACAAACTCCATGTTTCTGTGTAAAAATCGTCAGAAAAATAACGTGAGGCGCAACTTTCTGTCTTTAAAAAAAAGGACATTTGTTTTTCCCCTAAAGTAAATGGTGGTGTGTAGTGGGGTGGGGTGGGCTGGTGGAGGGGGGGAGGGGGGGGGTAGGAGGAGATAGAGATGGCATGCGAACAAAGGTCGTCCGCGTAGATTATTTTAAAATTAGCAGCCAAGACATAATTATTTTAAAAGTTAATTAAAACCGCACCGCCCTGCCCCTCCCCCATTCAATAAGTCGTTATTTATGTGACAGATTACAATTTTTAATCCCTCAGCTTAACCGCACGTTTAATGCGAGATCACGGCTAGGGACAACACTTGATGCAGGCGCCATCTTGACTTTTTGTTTACAAACTAATTAATGCCATAATCAAAACACCGGGGATAATTTTAATGAACTTCGAAACACCTTCATGCTTGCTGTTGTTTATTTTAATTATAATCAACATGTTAATTAAATTTTTATTTCTTACTCTCAGCATTGAAGAATCAGTTCTTCGATTATAATTCTTGGTTGTTGGATAAATTTCCCCCATCAGACATATGCCCCCACCCTGCCCTGGCCCCTGCCCCCCCCCCCCCCCCCCCCCCACAGCATAATCTACCTGTCTATTTAACCCCAGCCGTGAGACATGTTATTAACTTATGCTAATTGATTCGTCCTCTCGTGTTGGAGGCAATTAATATTGATCTTAAACACAATAACAACCCCCACCCTGCGCTACCCCCCCCCCCCCCCCGCCCCGCCACACCAACACAATGACACCTTGTTGGGTTCAAGTAAAAAAAAAATGTCACCCTCATGCTTCAGTTACCTGTGTTTTATAGCATTTGCTTTCTAACAAGTTTGTGTCCGCTAAAATAATGGACCACGCGTGATACCGTGAAATAGATGAGAATAATCAAGGGTGCGATGTGTTGAAACAGTTCTAAAGCATCGATTCAGTTCTAAAGCACGGAGTCAAAGCACTGAGTCTAGACAAAAGCACGGAGTCAGGACTAAAGCACGGAGTCAGAACTAAAGCCTGGAGTCAATGCTTCCATGCTCGCGTCAATGCCTTGCCCAGGTCAACAGCACCGGTGAGCTGTTCACTCAGCTCTAAATCGTGCCGTTCTCATCACGTGTATCGCCAACACTTGTTAACGATTTGTTAACAGCATTTGTTTTTTTACAGTTTAAAAAGGTTATTTGTAACGTTTATTAGGAGCGGACAACTCTTAAAGAAATGTCACACTTAGAGCTAGACCAATCAGGACACGTGTTGTTGCTGAGTTAACCCTTTGTGTGCCGTCAATTGGGCTGAGCTGTCAGTTTCAAACTGCACGTTAATTAATTTTAATTATTGGTTGATTGGTAAAACGAGGAAAGTCTGTTAAATTGACAGGTTGGTTTTGGTTGATAGTACGTGTTGCACAATGAAGGTTTGGGTTGGGATGGAGGGGGGGGGGTTAAAGTAGGGGGTTGGAGTTGATAATGGGTGAGTCATTGTGCCTGGTGCACGTGCTTGATTAGCAGACGTGAGAAATTAATTACTTACTGGTGCCTCGCTGGATGTAGCCTTTGTAGTCCTCGGCCGTCATGGGAATGGAGAGAGGGGGCAGGATGGGCGACGGCTTCAGGGCATCGGTCTCCTTCTGCAGGGCGCTGAGCGAGGGGGAGCTCGCGAAGAGGGCGTTGGAGTTGAGGAGGTTTGAGCTGGAGGATGTTTTCATCTCGGAGGAGCGGAGGCTGGGAGGAAGAGGTAGTGAGGAGAGGGATGCTGCCGTTTTCTCTTGGAGGATCTCCAGGGGGTTCCGCGTCAGGGGCGATGAGAGCCCGTGGTCTTTGGCGTAGAGGGCGTCCAGGCTGGGGGCGTTGGGGGAGAGATACTTCCCCGCCATGTCGAACACATTTTGTTTCTCGTCCTTGTTCTTCTCGCCCTCTCTGGGCTTCTCAAAGTCTTTCTCGTTGGTTTTTCCTGAGCTAGGCGAGCCCGGAGCTTCCCCGGGGCGTTGACTGGGCTCCGTGGAGGGAGATGACTCCCTGGACCTACCCCCGTGGGTGGGGGACGCCCCGTGGTACCTGCTGGAGGAGGTGGCAGCGTCCCTGGCCACAGCGGCGGCGGCGTTCTGCAGGCCGGACATGGCGGCACCGACCGATGCCAGACCCTCGCTGGACATCATGCTGAGGTCCATGTCTGCTGGCAGCATGCTGGGGTTGACCCCGCTGGCAATCAGTTGTCGCCTCATCTGCTGGATCATCTGGATCTGTCAAAGGTAAAATCAAACTATTTTTAGAGCCAGTTTTGGATTAAAGACGTAAACAACCACACAATAATTCACAGCAAGCTACCGACATGTGGGAATAACACATTAAATAACCATCACATTTTTATCTTTTACAACAACGGAAAAAAAAGTTTTAAAATTGAAGCTTAAGTATACAGTAGTATCATATAAAAACCGTTTTTCCTTGATATGATCAGCTAAAGGTTACTAAAATATGCAGTTAAGAAATCTAAAAGTCTCATATTTCTTTCCACTTTTAGAGAAAGGAACAGTGTTTAGCTACATACTACCATACCTGTAGTGTTTAGCTACAGACTACCATATTGTTAGCTACATACTACCATACCTGTAGTGTTTAGCTACAGACTACCATACCTGCAGTGTTTAGCTACAGACTACCATATCTGCAGTGTTTAGCTACAGACTACCATACCTGCAGTGTTTAGCTACAGACTACCATACCTGTAGTGTTTAGCTACAGACTACCATACCTGTAGTGTTTAGCTACAGACTACCATACCTGCAGTGTTTAGCTACAGACTACCATACCTGCAGTGTTTAGCTACAGACTACCATACCTGCAGTGTTTAGCTACAGACTACCATACCTGCAGTGTTTAGCTACAGACTACCATACCTGCAGTGTTTAGCTACAGACTACCATACCTGCAGTGTTTAGCTACAGACTACCATACCTGCATCATCTGCTGTTGCTGGAGCTGGAACAGCATCGTCCTGAACATATTCACCTCATCCGGCACGTCACGTGGTGTCAGGGTGTCACTGCACTGTGCCACCGCGGCGCTGGTGGCCGCCAGGGGCTCCAAGGTCACGTTACTGTTGCCCCCGAACATCCCCCTCTCCGCCGCTTTAAGCGCCCACGCAATGGCTGGGTCCTCATTTTTGCTGGAGTTTCCAGACGAGCTCCTCTCTGGGGCAGCGTCCAAACTTTTCCGGCGCTTGGGTCTGAACGGCGAGTCATCCCTGAGCTCCTGGTCGTCTTTTGATTTGATGCTGAGGAATTTCTCCTTCTCCTCCACGGGCTTGTCCCGGAAGTTGCTGAAGGAGTTGATCATCTTGTTCCTAAGTCCCAGCAGGAATTGTTCATCGGACCGGAACTGCGGCCGGTACCTGAGATCGTCTTCGTGTTTCAGATCTTCGCTGTCACGTGACCGCTTCCGGCCGCGCATGGGCACGTCGTCTGCTGCGTCAAAGTCCGTGCTGTCGTTCCGCGCCCTGACGTCTTCATCGGCGCTGTCGAAGTCGTCCTTGTCGTCGCGGTCGTCGCAGTCGCTGTAGTCCTTCTCCAAACTGCCGTCCAGGCTGGACCGGCTGAAGTCGTAGCCGTTCTGCAGGTAGCCGTTTGCCGGCGGGTCGTACGGCATGAGAATCCGGCTCCGTGTGCCGCAGAGTTTTTTGTGGGTCAGGTACTGGCCAATGTCCGAGAAACACACCCCACACTTCTCGCACGCGCTGATCGTGTCACACCCGTCCGGGGAAGGGACCTCACCAGATGGACAGAACTCTTCTGGAAATAAAATAAAAAATGTGAAAATAAACTTTCAAACATGTCCAGACATTAAAGTTCAAAAAAAATTATTTCAATGTTCAAATTTCAAACGTAAACGTCATCAATCACGTGGACACTCGGTGTTTTATTTACCGCCTAACTCGTCTGTTAGGATAATTATACACTGCGCTGTATCCTAATATCCTAAGTAACAAAAACAGGATCTACGCCACAAACAGAATCATTTGCTTGTTTCAAATTGTCTTTATGTGATAATGCCAAGTCGTCTTTTTTTCTTTTTTTCTATTTGTTTTGGCCAATATACCAGTTATGACGATAAAAAAGTAATTGTCAATTCTTTAGAAGGAGAAAATATAAACACAAGAAATATATGAAAGCTGCTCAAATTAAACTTTAAGAATAAAAAATCGAATTATTATTATGTACTTAAGTCTGCTGTACTTAAAGTCTACTGGACTACAGTCTACTGGGTTAGAGTCTACTGGGCTAGTCTACTGGACTACAGGCAAACAAACTAAAAAGGTAAACATAGTTTTGAAGATGGGCAACTACAGACTACAGGACCCCAGACTTAAACATAACCACGGTAAACAAACAAAGGACCTAAGTAAGCCGTAGGACACCAGAAAATAGGACAAACAAGTGGACTACAGGACAACATCGAAAATTTCATCTCCCTCATATAACACTCATAAAGTTCGAGGAAAAAAAATTAATCTCATAAATTATTAAAAATTAATTTCGATGGTGAATTTTAGTTTCGCGTGATGCCCCATGCAAAAGCTGACTCGTTTCAAACACAAGTCGCATGCCAGCAATGACTGGACCACACTTAGAAGTTAATTATCGCAGAGTCGAGCTGGTGATCGGGACAATGATTGATTAATGATTTAATTAGAATTGAGGGCAAGAGTGCAAAGTTAAGAGAGAAGGGGGAAAGGGGAGATAATTGATCTTAAGCTTTGAATACAGGAGTTACAGATGAGAGACAAAGGCGAGGTGGGGAAGGGGGTAGGGGGGGAGGTTATAAGGAGGTGGGGAGAGAGTGGGGAGGTGGTGAGAGGAGGAGGTGGGGAGGGAGGAGGTGGGGAGGGAGTGGGGAGTAGGAGAGGGGGAAGTAGAGGGCGAACTATAAGGAGGCTGGGGCGAAGAAAAATACAGTACTTAAATCATGTGAGTGTATGATCCATCAATGAAGATAGTTCAATGTATGTGCTCTGTGTATATGACTTGACGCACCATTTGTCATAATGTCATTACAAAACTGTCACCATCAGTGACAGTCAAGGAATAAAAAAAAAGAAGAAAAAGATTAAAAGCGGCTCAAATTATTAAAAGCTACAGAAGGATTTTAGCTTTGCATATTAGAACATGACAAACGTTGCATATTAGAACATGACAAACGTTGCATATTAAACATGACAAATGATGTCATCCCCTCGTGTAAGAGCAAACAGCGGCTCACACAGGCGCGACAACTCTTCTCATATCATCTGCCATAAATCAAAATTAATTTGACAGCCACAGAGAGGGCACTGTCATCAAATGGAGGGGGTGGGGGTGGGAGGAAAAAATCGGGAGAGGGTGGAAAGGAGAGGGTGCTTCATACCCCCCCCCCCCCCTCACCTAACAACGGGCTCTCATGAAAGTTTGATGCGACAACTGGGCGGGAATGATTCTTAATCAAGCCAGCCCCGCGCCCGGCGGTATTCAGGTGATTAAAGAATTATGATATTGTATCCCTAGGCGCGGTTATTAGAGAGACCACGGAGTCCTACGTTACGGCACGGAGCTATGATTAATGCGCATTCCGATAATTAACAAGCGGAATTGATTTCTGCTATTTGATGTGTTTAAGATAAAAGTAAATACTTCATTGAGGTGGAATCATAAAGCGGGGATCGATTTTTTTATTCACTGCGCATGACAAGGAAAGTTGAGGGCATTGTGGTTGACAAGGGAAGCGGAGGTATTGAACTTCATAATTCTGGAACCTCGCGTGCCGTCTGCTCCCGGGGGAGGTGAAGTAGAGTGACGGTGCTTTAGTAATAATAGACCGACAGTCAAATAATCATATTCTGAATATGGAAGGTGATGCGGGGTGGGGGCTTTAGAAGGGCGGGGGTGGGTGGGGGGGGGCGGCGTTTGAAAGACCGGATTAAAAACGTAGGCGTATTTTTTAAGTGTTGGGGCGTCGGAAATAAGGGTGGGGTCGATAATAGAGGTAGGGGGTCGACATGGTGGTGATTTTTTTAAATAAGGGTTGAATGTGTGGGGTTTAATAAATGTGTGGGTGATCACATGCATAGGGTAGGTTTGTGTTTAGGATAATTCTATTGTCTTAAGGTACCAAGATGTTTTTTTTTTAACTCCAGAAAATGTATAAACATTTGGTTTGCTTTAGCAACTAACAAGCTAAAAGCAATTTTTAGATTTGGAAAGCAAAAAAAAAATATCGACAACAATACTTTGAGTGAGGGGAAATTCACACCAAACAAAACAAGCGGCAGACAACCCAGTAATACAAGCTCACACTTAACAAGTGTCAACAATTATGTTAACAATTGTAAACAAATATGGCGCCATTCAGCCTCGCAGATTTTTTTTTAAATCGAACTGTCGCCGTAACAGCCGGGTTATTATCCAATCAACGGTGTTGTTTTAAAAATATGATTCTTTTAATGGGATCCCGGGGCCGCTTCCCCGAGCCCTGTGGCTGTTTGCTTTTCCAACGTAGCAAGAAAATAATAATGGCCGCTCAAATAGAGCGAGTGGTGAGCGGAGATGGCTGTGACTGATGTACTTGAATATTGCAAACAATTTTGATAAAATCATGTCCCTGAGTGTATTAGGGAATTAGATTTTTTTTTCTGTTTTCAAATTACTGACTGCAATTAAAAAACGCGGGTGAATTAAAGCTAAAAGCAACGGAATAATTCATTGTTTGAGCGGGGGTAAATCTGAGTACTGTTGGATGGATTGTTGGGGGGGGGGGGGGTGGGGGGTGGGATAGGTTTGTGTGACTAGGTGTTTACTTGATAGTTTATCTTTTTTTTACACGGTAGTTTGTTGTTATATTTAGTATTAATCATGGTAGTACATCACATAGTTACATGATGATTTAAGGTTTTTTAATAGGTAGTTGTTTTTTTTAGTATTTAACTTGATAGTTGACTATAAAGGTGTACGACACACTTATTATTGTGACAGTTTTGTGACAGTATTGTGACAATTTTGTGACAGTATTGTGACAGTATAATTCAAGTCCGCTCTAGAAAGTGTTGCTGTCAAACACATACATCACATTGTAAAAGACAGTAGACAGACACAGCGAATGGTTTGAGTTCCTTAAGTTTGATGCTGCCATTGTACAATTTTAAAGTTTTCTTCTATGATCGCAGTATAAAATTTGAGGTAAGCCTCAAACTTAAAGAGCAGCAACCACAACACTAATAGTGTTTAATAATTTTTTTAAAAATATTGTCTATAGATATGCATTGTCTTGTCCGTATTCTCAAAATATTTAAATCTGAACGTGTTCAATTTTATATAGATAAAATTATTATGAAATTAATATGTTGTATAAAAATTAAATTAAAAGTGTACAAAGTTATTAATTTAAGAAAAAATAAATAAAACCATTACAAAAATATTAATAAATCAAAACAGTAAATAGACATACTAGTCTACACGTCGTTTGTTAATGTAAAGACAAAACGTAATACAAAATAAAATTTAAGACAGCAAGTATCTATTTTACATCAGCAACATTCTATTTTACATCAGCCTGACGTAATGTCTGTCAGGTGACGAAGTCGACTTGAAGAAATAAGAATATGGTCACGTGATTGTCGAGCTGAACATTGTTTACAATCTTCACACGTGACCTATTCAAGATAGGGCCGCCATTTTGTCCTATTTAAATTGTCGTGTTAAAATGTCCTCGGCAAGTGTGTACTTAGCGTGGAATGAAAATGGAACAAATATTTGGGGGGGGGGGGGTGAAACGCCCACGCGTCGCCAAGCAAATGGAAGCCATTTTGGGACAAACATGGCGGCACGCGTGTGTCCGGGCCCTCAAGGTCAAAAGTCAACCGTCTTTTGGCACCCATTCAAGGTGCGCGGAATGTCGCCACTTCCGCTTACAAATACAGCCGTTTTGATTTGTATTGACAAGGAACAGACTTTGTAATATCGTGTTCTGTACTGGCCATCTTCCATCAGCTGCTGTAGCTAAATAAAACGGAACCTGTCTTGGCCTATGGTGAGGTCACACATGTGTACTGCTATCACTAGCCCTCCTGTCATAAAAACAGCTGTCACTAGCCCTCCTGTCACTAGCCATCCTGTCACTAGCCATCCTGTCACTAGCCCTTATGTCACTAGCCATCCTGTCACTAGCCATCCTGTCACTAGCCCTTATGTCACTAGCCATCCTGTCACTAGCCATCCTGTCACTAGCCATCCTGTCACTAGCCCTTATGTCACTAGCCATCCTGTCACTAGCACTCCTGACACAACTACGACTACAACTGGTACCAACAGAACGACAGCCACCTTTCAATAACAGCCCCGAAAATACATTCAGATCTCCGACACGACGCTCACATCGACACTACACAACCCCCCCCCCCCCCCCACCCCCCGTCACAAAAAAACCCCGCACTGGTGTGTGGTTGTCTATCACGCGACCTACTTAAATCTGGCACCGCGGCTGGTCCGGCCTCTCAGACTGGCCGATCGATAGCCCGACAGAAAAAGAAATTCCGACGTCCAAAAAACGTGAAATAGGCCGCGGAGCTCGGGAGAAAGATAGTTGGCATCACGTGGGAAATATGATTTGATATGAAGCCAACGATTGGCCAACCAGACGCCTGCCAGGGGAGGCGATCGCCAGCCAGGGGGAGTGAATTGACAAAGATGCGCAACTTTATGAAAATGATATAGATTTATGATGCGGGGTCGGGAGCCAATCAGATTGTGGAGCTGGTTATCTT